TCAGTTTCTAGTTTGCAGCCAGTTTGGGTGTCATTTCTTATTTTGTAAATAATAGTTTAAAAATGATGAAGCTAAACCCTGCAATGTACCTTGCTATAAAACCAAACAAACAGTCAAGGAAATTCTGTAAGGGGTGCTTCCTCCAGTAGACCCATTGTTCTCAAACATCTCACCCAGGACGATGCAAGCTGGTAACAATGGGCAAGTTAACAGGATCTCTTGGTTGTGCTTCCATATCCGTACACAAAGGGGACCCTCTGCAGAGAGGGAGATCAGCCTACTCCGCAGCAGTCTCCCACACTTCCCCTGGACTCCACAGAGAGGTTCAGAAACCCTGCAGGGTTCCAACAAGTGAGTAGACAGCAGGTGACGTACGGATCTCTTCACTGGATAATGCAGCTCCAGGTTCCAACTATCCACAGCTCCGCCTGCATGGGGTGGATCCCTAGAGAATCCAGTGGCTGAGGAAATCGTGGCAGCTCAGCTCCAGGAAGTAACATACACTTCCAGCTTTTCTTGCCTTCATGAGATTAAGCTAACAAACAAACCTGTTTTTAACATTCTAACTCAAGAAGTCAACAAAAAGTAGAACAGAAGATTCAGATTTGCCAGTGACAGTAGCAATGATAAAATTTCAGCACATGTATAACATTTTTTCAGTTTCAAAATACAGTTCAAAAGCCCTGAGATAGGTGTCAGCCTCAGTCTACAAACGGGAAACAGAAAGAATAGAGAGGTGAAGAGTATCTGCCAAGGCTACACAGAGAATCAGTGGCAGAGCCAGAAAAGAACTCAAGATTAAGAGTTCCAAACTCCCATCCCCTGCAGGCCATTCTGCCTCTGGTAACAAGTCAATTTTTGCACCCACTGTTTAGAAAAGTCATTTTTTCTGGCACCACGACAGACAATATACTTTGTCACATAAAATAAAGCACAATTTCCAGTAATGCAGGCATACTGGTTACACTGGACTGTTATCTATGCATAATCTTATTTGTCAACAGCTTGCAAACCCATTATTGCTGTAAACAAAACAACTGTTTTTCAGCTGACAATTGAATAAATGCAGGAAATAGGATACATAAACAGGAGCACCACTGACAACATAGCATTTAGAAAATTCACTAGTCTTCCAAATCTGTCCAGGCTGTTAGTAACAGCATTTAGCTGCTTGGAATTTATGAGTCATGTTGTAACGTGTTGCACAGAATCTGCACATCCAAATTCAGTTTTTGCACCTTGCTCAAGGGGGTGCTATTGAGTAATAGGGAAACATCCCCTTCTCCACCAGCTTTTAATAAAGTATAATATTTGTGATGGCTACCAGAGCAATCATTAGGGTTCTAATCCCGCCCTCTCCACCTTCTTACTGCCCCTAAAAAAAAAAAAAGTCATAACTTGTACTTTACAAAGGCTCCTGGTGGACCCAAGCTGTTGGTTTGTTCTCAGGTCCCACCTGAATGATATATTCAGAAGTAGCCTTGCTTATTCCATTTTTCAGTATTTAAAAAAAAAAATACACTGCATACTGACAGATCCATTTGCAAGACATGACTTCTATTTGGCCATCATTTTATAGCTTGTGCATGCAAGTGAGTGTATAGAAACATGTGTATGGAAATGACTAGAGGCTGGGTTGATCCCCCTTTTGGGCAGTCCAGCTCTGACTGCCCAAGTTTGCCCTTAGATTTATTGACGCAATGCACTAAGATCAGGGTGATCTGCATTCATATCTCAATGCAGAACTGAGCCTCAACAGCTAAGTTTACACATCATTAGTTATCCATTGTCATTACTGCATTAAGGGTTGTCAGGAAGGACAGACATTGAGGGAAAGCTGCAAAGTGATACTATAGTATTAAAACATTGGATTAGAAATAAATAGAACATAAACCCAAAAGATTTTAACCAGATTTAAATATTTTTTAAAATTCAAACTGACCCAAAGCAGAACTTACATTACAAAAGAACAAAATACATCATGATATTGATAACACAAAAAGGTGCATGGAGGCTAGATTTGTGGGCAAATTGTAAATTGCTCTCATCCCAGTGACATTCTGGGCTCTGGATCAACTTTATTGAGAAGTTAAGATTTAAAATTTCCATATGGTCCACTCTGGTAAACAAACTATATAGTCTCTCTTGCTTCAGGGTGTCTGTATGACAAATTAATCATGCTAGTCCTCTTTGTCCAGATGTGTTCTCTTGTTATTGCCAGCTATAGCCAGAAAACTAAATTCTCCACGCTATCCCAAGGAAGCCAGAGTTATTCCAAGCATGACTGATGATGAATTAAAAAACCAAAACACTCAAAAGCTTTTCAAACTAACAAGTATTGTCTATAATGTAGTAAATAGTTTAGAAATATGGTAATTAAATAATCTAAAAAAACCCACTCTTACTCTGCTGTACATTTATAAACATATTTACAAAAATCTTTCTGCTTTGTTTTTAAAGGATGAGGTTTGCAGTTTATTAATGATCAGAATCTTTTGCTTGCCTGTTTCTTTGGTGTATTTGCCAATTTTACTATTATTAAAGATTCAATAAAATGACCACCAATGTATATTAAGGGAATGAAATTAGGATATGCAATACATTTCTATTATGAACTCATCTTTCCACATTCTAATTCAAAAGATTATGGAAAAAAAACAAATCACTTTGTGTTTTCTAACTACTTGTGCATTATACACATTTAAGAGAGTGACAACAGAATAGATCCACAACATTCAAAACTAGTTGGCTTGAATGATGAATAAACCCTGTACTTTACTAACTTAATTACGTGCTACAGTTTAAGTATATAAATAGTCCCACTGAGGTCAACAGGACTACTCAAGCACATGCTTATCTGTAAGACCGTAAGTGCTTTGCTGAATCGGAGCCTTAAGGCCTCATCCAAAGCCCAGTGGAAGTCTTTCCATTGACAGCAGCGGGATTTGGATCAGGTCCTTTGACAATTTACCCTTCCTAAAGGGGATTAGACTTCTGCATCTTTTATTTATTTATTTTTTTAAGAAAGGTTTTGCACTGGCCTAAAATGTAAAAGTGTTTCCTTTAAATGTCAGTTACTAAAAATACCAAACCTCACTCAATAAATAATGGAATGACACACTTCTTCATTAAATAGCAGTTTTGTTACCAGCAAGGTCTTTCATAATTTTCTGAAGTCACAGCAGCAAGACAGAACAAATAATTTATCTTAATATGGATTCTGACTAAGATACAGTCTAAATTATTTCAGAAAAGATTCCTGTAAAAATGCACCTTCACTGATGGGGAAGAAAATGGTTTAAACTCAAGCAAGTTACTTAGGAAAGCAGATGAACAATATTAAATACTTTAAACAAAGAATGTTAAGGTTCTGTATCTACGTAACTAAACTGAAGAATCAGAATTAAGAGCTGCCATCCCATTCCTAATGTGCCTCAGTATGCCTAGGTACTGCAGAACAGAAAGCAGAAGAGATCAGCTGTTAAGGTGTTTTGAGTATTCATTAAAGGTACTACTGAACAGCACTCTCTCTCTCCACACTATAATGCTACCAATGTGCTTCATGACCTAGAGCAGGGGTCAGCAACGTTTGGCACGCGGCT